CGTTAAATGGCCGTTTCGTCATCTTGCCTTGTAGGCAAGGGTCACAGGTGGAAAGATCTTCTATAGTTAGAAAATCCAAAGGACCATCCTTTACCAACCTTGTGATTCGGTCAATACCGATGTGGCCAAGTCGGTAATGCCACAGACATGTGGGATTAACTATATCACAGGCTCTCTTCTTGAGGATTTCAGCCGACGTAGTTTCGGTTATGTTAGTTTCTAGAGAATGATGTAGAACATAGAGACCGTTCTTCACTCAGCCTTCTGCTTACCTTGAACCCCTGTAGTGAGTTACACGCATGAGTTGAAGCCCCGAGTCAATACACCAGGACGCAGAAACTACCAACAGTGGCTGGTCTTCTTGCAGAAGTGACAGGCATCCGATGCTTTGTCTTTTTCTGCTTCTTGCCCTTAGTAGCTTTCTTTTGAAGCTTCTTTGCCTTCCTCTTTCTCTTGCCTGTCTTGCTAGCTTCAACAAGCATAGCTACGGACTCATCCTTTTTAATCAGTTCTTCAGCTCTTTGCAACATATTGCTGAGCTCTTACAGGCTGACATTCAGCTTGTTTATGTTATAGTTCATGATGAACGGATTAAAGGAAAGAGGCAAAGAATTAAGGATAGCATCTATCTGGGTCGCAAGGTCCAGCCCGGATCCAAGAGCCTCCAGTTCGTTGATGTATCCCATCATCCGAAAACAATGGTCGTGAACTTGCTGGCCCTTGGACATTTGTGCGGTCATGAACTGTTTCAAGACCTTTTGTCGAGTAGAACGATTCTGCTCTTCATACATCGTTCTAAGACTTTACAATATATCCTTAGCAAGTTCGATCTGATCGAACTGCCTCTATGTGGGAAATCACATAGGGTGCATGGAACCAACTGTTTTAGCTACCTAACCCCACCACCTTTCTGTGAAGGATCATATCCACTCATCATATGAGTTTTCCCTTTGGCCTCTGTCAGACAAGGTTCAAAGCCGTTTTCAGGTAAACTTTTCTGTCCATTGAGTGTTTACCCATCATATTCGTGAACACGAAGGTACCGTGAGAGAGTTCCCATTTTTGGTGAAGCCCCTCCCACATCGATCTATGACGCCCCTATCATCTTGTGAAACACTCAGACAAGCCCAACAGCAAATGGATAGCCCATTTTCTGGTGCGTTTTCTCATTACTGAAGGACCCGTCCTCTTGCTAATGATGGAAGGTTTTCTCATTACTGACAGTGAGACAGACCTTTAACTCAACATTTACAACTGTGCACAGAATGTTGGAAGGTATATGGTAGATGGGCATTTTCAGATCATTATCAAGCTTTGAGAAGGCCTTAACCTACAAAGAATTTAGATGGTTAATAGAAACTGAAAAGAAAACAAATGATTATTGTACAACACTTAATACTCAGATCACAGGAATGAAACAGTGAAAGAGATACAGGAAAAAACAGAACCTGCTCAATGTGTCTGGGAGGTAGAAGGCCTTCTCACCGACTCGAGGAACAGTGGCGAGGGGGCCCGCGCATCTCGATTCCAATAGCCATTCGTTCATCCAGCATGTCCCTTACACAGTCCTTGCTTATCACAAGGGGCTCTTCCGGTGTTCTTCTATCCCTCTTAAACGAAGCATGAAACCAAGAAAATCAAAGTTTTAAACTCCAAGATTTTTACAACAGAAAAAAATATCGCTCAACTAAATCCTAAAAATTAAAAACCAGTAATGAAGAATGTTTGAGAAGGTAAACCCCATGCGTGAGTGAAAATAATGGAACGGAGTCACTTGGGAGTGGAAAAGCCAGCAGTTCATGAAAGCTCAATCAGAAAAGGCAAAGAAGAAAGCCCTCATTTTTTTGAGAGTGATGATGGACTCAGTTTCGTCATACTGCACCGCCCAGCCCGCTGGAACAGAGCAGAGGAGGGGTTCTGGGTTTGTTTCGCAGGTCATGGCAGAGAAGATGAATAAAAAATATTTCTATCCTCCGAAGAGAGGGAAACAGTATTGACAATGACAATTGTTTTTGGTATTGCCACTTGTTTTTCAACAAAAATAAATATATATATATACATATATATATATATATATTTTCAATGAGATTGTAATTCACACTGTTAATTATTATATTTTTTTATTATTTTTTGTCCTTTTTCTCATTTCTTATTTAGCTATGACGATCAATTCCCTAAACATTGAGAACGTCATCTGTAGTCTTCCTTGGTTGACAACACGCGTCGCTATTCCGAATTACCGACTCCAAAATCAATTACAGGGGTTTATTATCAACTATGGCGTCAACCAAACAATTACGGAGGATGGTTTCCCAGAACCTCATTGCCGCCTCTGTTGGTTGACAACTGGATGCAACATTAGAGAGAAGAAAACGAAAATGAAATTTAAAGAGGAAAGAAAAAAAAGAAAAAAAAAGTTGCAGAGTAAGTTAGAACTTACCTGAGATGGGATTTTGGCCTGATCAGATCAAGAGAATAGGGGAGCTTCGGCAAAAATTATGGTTTGAAATAGATGGCTGCAGCTGGGGGAACAATTTCTGTTAAAGGGAAAACAAAGCAATGCTGACTGATGCCCGACCAATGTTTTAAAGAGGGTGATGCTGCCGGCGAAGAACTACTTTGGGAAACTGTAGACGAAGAAAGAGACGAGATTTAGACTTCTGGCAAATCCGTTCACCGCACCGTAGCTCTTGAAACTGAACCCTATGCATCCCAACAGTCCTTGCCTATGAGGCATGGAAGTTTTCTTCTGCATCCCCTCCGCCTGAAGCAGTTTAAACCCTGGACGTTCATGGCACTGTAGCTCTTCTCAAGCAGAGGAGAAACCTTGAAGAAGAAGCGATGGAAGTCCCCGGTTTTTCAGAGGAAGTGGAGAGAGAGAGCGGGAAGATAGACATAGAAGCTGGGAGAGAGAAAGAAATGTGTCAAAGAGAGAGAGGAATAGTGAGACGAAGTGGTAAGTGGAAAATGGGGAAAGCGGGAAAAAAAGTTCTGGAAACATGAAGAAAAATAAACACGCGTCGTATATGCAAAATAGAGAGAGGGACAAGTGGTTATTCATGCAAATTACTTAAGCAAACAACAGTGTTGAACAGTAAGATTCCGTTATATATATATATATATAAAAGATACGATTGATAGAGCTCTCCGATAGTTGGAGGTCATTGCCTTGTCGTGTTGATGCCTATGACTATCAAAAGCAGAACTGGCCCGTGTCCTTGCAAGAAATAGTCAAGCCTTCAATGAATCCAAACTGAAAAAGGCATTTTCAACCATAAAAAGGTTTTAGACAGGAGTTAGTCAATTTCTTAAAATATTTGCCCTTGAAAATATCATAAAACCGCCACGGCCTCCATGTTCAATCACGTGCGTTTAATCGGAATCCTTCGGAAGTAGTGGGACCGGCCCACTTAGCTTGGAAGATCGCTTTGAACGGCGAAGAATGGAGACTGAACACTGAAGAGTCCAAAGAATTACGTCAAGAGTTCAAACTTCTGATAACTTCCCAAGGATATATTCTCTCGAGACCCGACTACCATTTCAGTCCCCTTTACAAACTTTAATCACAGCAACGTCAATCGTAATTATCTCTACTGTCTAGGGATATTTTAGTAAGTTTATATCAGATAAGCCGACACTGCTGGCACACTTTCTCCGCATCACGTTCTCTTTCCTCTTCGATGCTTCCTCGCTCTTCCATCCGTTTCTTCGGAACCTGAAGAGTAAGAAATCGAGTTTTTCCGATTGTTTATCGAAAGTCGACTTGAATTATTGGGATTCGAGCAGAGAGGGAAGCAGAGATCAATGGCGCAGCCTCTACAGCCGTGTCCGCCGAACTCGTTTCGTTTTAATTCGACACTCTGCGCCTGCAACCCGGGTTATGTTTTCAGTGCTACGAGCAACAGCTGCAGCTTGTATCAGGTCGGGGATGGTGCATGGATGATGAGTTCAGGGGTGGATTACTCTTTGACGTTCCCGGAGACGATCTTCTCGTTTGATTCGATCAAGAAGTTCACACAGTCGCAGGCGGTGTTCCTGGAGGCTACGCTTGTGATGCTTTTGTCTTGGCTTTTGTTTTGCTTCTTTGTTAGGTTTGCGGAGCTCGGTGATGGGAGGAGCATCTGGTTTCGGATCAGGTGGTGGATTAGTCGGTTGGATTTCTGTTTTGCCACGAGACATTGGCTGGTTAGATTGCCTCAATTATCTTTCTCTGTACTACTTTTTCTTTTGCATTTCTTCTTTTAGAACCTACATGGGGAAAAAGGAGAACTTTTTCTTTTTCTTTTGCATTCACTGGTGTTGTGGATGAACTTATGACCAAGAAGCAAAGATGTGATTACGACTTGATTAGAAGAAACTTTGGTGAATAACTAGGCTTCCTTTAATTATAGATTAGCTCAACCTCTTCGGAGGAGGCCAAGAATGATTTGATTTTTGTGTGCCACTCCCCTGGTTATTCAAGACTGGTTGATGAATTGGATATTCATTTATGGAGTGTTGATGTACTATTAATTACTTAATAATCTAATTCTGTAATAAATAGCACCCACAAGAATGGGTTTTTGTGATAAAACTCAGATTAGATGTTCGTATAAGTTCAGATCAGAAGAAAGAGAAGAAGAAGAGAGAGAAGAAGGAGAAAAGGTCACAGCCAAAGAAGAAGGAGAAGAAGAAGAAGAAGGAGAAGAAGTCTGCACTGTCACCATCACAAAACCAGCCCTCTTCGAACCGCCGAGTAGAGGGTTTTCTACCAACCACACAAAACCACAGCGACTGCACTCATTGGAGGCATGGAAACCCCTACAAGGAGAAAACAACCAGTCCTTTTCTTTCTTTCTGGAAAACTCTGTAGTTATAAATGAGAATTCTGCAAAACCCTAGAAAAGAATGCGCAGAACAGAGAAAAAAAAGGAGGCGACTGATTAACCTAGCTCTGATACCATGATAAAACTCGGATTAGATGTTCGTATAAGTTCAGATCAGAAGAAAGAGAAGAATAAGAGAGAGAAGAAAGAGAAGAAAGAGAAGAAGAAGAAGGAGAAAAGGTCACAGCCGAACTAGAGAGAAAAATTCAAATTCCTCTAGTCGGCCCTTCTTTTATTTATACTCTTCTAAGGTATACAATAATTACCATTGTACCCTCACTTAATTGAGAGCCACGTCAGCTGAACAACTCATATATAACTAAACATAAAAGTACTATACTACCCTTGTACAACTGACTCTAACACTCCCCCTCAAGCTGGTGAGTATGTGCCATATAGTCCCAGCTTGTTACCACTCTTCCTCGATTCAACCCTTTGGTAAACAGATTTGCCCATTGATTTCTTGTGTTCACATATGTTGTACTTATCACTCCACTAAGCACCTTCTCACGTACAAAGTGGCAATCCACTTCTATATGCTTCGTCATTTCATGAAACACTAGTTTAGAGGAGATATGAACTGCAGCTTGATTATCACAATATAGCTTCATAGGAGTGTCAATCGAGTATCCCATCTCCTCTAGGAGATGCTTCAACCACACTAGTTCGCATGTTGTGTGTGCCATAGCCCTATATTCAGCCTCTGCACTGCTTCTTGCCACCATTGTCTGCTTCTTACTCTTCCATGTCACTAAGTTACCACCAAGAAAAGTGCAATACCTTGTAGTGGACCTTCTATTAGATATGGAACCAGCCCAATCAGCATCCGTGTATCCCTCTATCTCAAGACTTCCTCCACTCTTATATAACAAACCACGACCTAGAGCTCCCTTCAAATACCGCACAATCCTTAGGATTGCCTCCCAATGTGGAACTCGAGAGTTCTACATAAACTGACTCACTACGCTGATCGCAAACGAGATATCAGGTCGAGTGATGGTTAGGTAATTAAGCTTACCCACCAATCTTTTGAACCTTCCCGGATCCTCAAACTCCTTACCTGTATCACTACCCAATTTAACATTTAGTTCCATGGGTGTTTCAGTTGGTCTTGCACCCAACAACCCTGTTTCTTCTAGTAGATCAAGAACATATTTCCTCTGGCACAGATTAATACTGATGGTGCGCAATCCGGCCGGTCCTAGCTGTCAACGATCTTGCCTCGGGCTAGAGCAGAAGGTGCCTGAAACGGAGGAGAAAGCGAGTAATCTCCGGGGAAGAACCCGGTGAGAATGCTTCGAAGCTCAAGTTAGTATTTCCTCAAAGGCAAGATAAAACCAGATGGCGCAAAGTTATCACATACCTCGTTCTTGGGGGGAAGAGAGCCTTTTATAACCACTTCGCGCACTCACTCCTAAGCTTCTGTCAGGTCGGGTATGATTACCTCTGCGCTTCTGCCAGTTCGGGTGTCATCACCTCTGCTGGGGCAGAACCGCCACTGCTCTCTTTGTCGGAGCCGTCTCCGTAACTAGAGATGGCGGTGGCAGGTGTTCGTTGAAGTGCGGCTGTCAAGCGTCAAATCCCAAGTCAATCAAGTGCGCCGCCTTAGGATACGGACTCCTTCGGTGTCAGGTACGGTACGATTGTTCAGTTCGGTGTTCTGGAGGCGAAGTGCTGGAGTGGTGTGCGAGGTGAAGTCTTGAGCTCAGATAGAGGTGTGGCCCGAACTGCCATGGGGCGGGCCAGTTCGGGTTGTTGCCCTTTGTGTTCGTAAGGCTCGGGGTCTAAGGGAGAGCTCGGGCTCTTTGTGGGGAGTTCGGACCGCGGGTTCTTCTTGATTTGCATTTAGATAATCAGTTTTATAGAGGTCATTTGCACATTTAGATAATCAGAAGGCACCATCACACTTGATTTGCATTCACTGCTGTCTCCCATGACTGCACAAGAAAACAAGGGGAAACTGTACCACTAGATTGTCACTCTACTGCCCTAATAAATCCCCACACTCCACACGAATGACTGAACACCACTAGGGTTCCTAGTACCAAGTTTCAGCAACAACACTCACAACTCTTCACCACTTTTAGCAACAACACCACTGTTGCCGTCTACTATCAGCACTAGAAACCCTCACAATGCACCTTACGAATAGGATATTCAGTTCTGCAACATATAAAAAAAAACTTGCTACATACCACAACTTAGTTCGAAGATCATGTACCTGTCGAGTAGAGGGTACCAAGTCTGCACTGTCACCATCACAAAACCAGCCCTCTTCGAACTGCCGAGTAGAGGGTTTTCTACCAATCACACAAAACCACAACGACTGCACTCATTGGAGGCATGGAAACCCCCAGAAGGAGAAAACGACTAGTCCTTTTCTTTCCTTTTGGAAAACTCTCTAGTTATCAATGAGAAATCTACAAAACCCTAGAAAAGAATGCGTAGAATAGAGAAAAAAAAGGAGGCAACTGATCTGAACTGATTAACCTGGCTCTGATACTATGATAAAACTCAGATTAGATGTTCATATAAGTTCAGATTAGAAGAAAGAGAAGAAGGAGAAGAAGAAGGAGAAAAGGTCACAGCCGAACTAGAGAGAAAAATTCAAATTCCTCTAGTCGGCCCTTCTTTTATTTATACTCTTCCAAGCTATACAAGAATTACCATTGTGCCCTTACTTAAGTGAGAGCCACATCAGCTGAACAACTCATATATAACTAAACATAAAAGGACTATACTACCCTTGTACAGCCGACTCTAACATTTTGGATAGTAGAATCTAGACTTTGGTAAGGAGTGTCTCCGTTACGTGTGCTTCCTTCTTCAAGCTCCTTTGTTCTTCTCCATCCCCTTGGAGTTTCCCGGTAAAGGAAATCTGGTCTAGGCCCATTCCCCCCATAATTTCTGCCTTTTATTGGGAAGTATATCATGGTAAGATTAACACTGTGGACAATCTGCAGAAGAAGAGACCTCTTTTATGCTTGAACGCAAACTGGCGCACAATGTGTAGAATACAGAACGAGAACTGTTACCATTTGCTAATATCTTGTTCCTTTGCCACAGATGTGTGGAATTGGGTTTTTTCTTTACTTGGCTGCAGGTGGGACCTGATCTCAAATGTAAATATGCTCTTTGACCCGTCAATTTTTGGATGGCCAACGAAGAGAGGGAAGCTTATGTGGAAATGCATAAGAGCTACTACGGTATGGACCTTATGGGAGGAAAGGAATATGAGGATCTTCCATGAGAAAGAAAGAGTCCTGAGGAAGTTAAGGAATGCATACTAACAAGATCCATCCTATGGCTGAAAACATCAGAACTGTTTGTAGATTTTTCCTTCAATGACATTCGGAGGAGTTGGGTAGCGGTAGCATTAATAGCGTCAAAGAAATCCAGACTACAATTTTGCTGGCACTAGTCGAGGTAACCCAGGGCCTTCTGGAATTGGTGGAATCTTGAGGGATAGGAACAACAACATCATCACTTTATTCTCAGGCCCAGTAGGAGTGGGTGACTCAATAAGAGCTGAATTACTAGCAATTGTACAAGGTTTACATATTGCAAGCCAACATGGAGTGGAAAATCTGGTAGTTGAAGGAGATTCCAAGGTAATAGTTAGTTGGTTGCAGAATCCAGACACTGTCACTTGGGGCTACGGAGATCTTCTGAGTAAATTTAAATGGTTCACAAGAAGTATGACAATCAATTTCCAATGTCAGTAGATCAGTTAATGCTTTGTTAGATTCTTTGGCTAAGCAAAGGGTTTCTCGGGCTTCTTTGTATTGGGCTAATCTATAATTTCATAGTGTTTGGGTCTTTACTCATACCTTTGGGGAGGTAGCATCTCGTGCCTCCTCCAAGACTGGTTGTACTTCCTTTTTTATCTCTTTAATAAAATTGCCTAATCATTCATAAGAAAACAAGAATGGGTTTTTGGATCAATGGGGTCAATTGCCTAATCATTCATAAAAAAAAAAMAAGAATCTTTAGAGGTCACTTCACTGGTGCTTGAGGACATGTTGAACTTATTGCAACTCAGCACAAGTTCTTCTTAAAGAAGATGAGGAATAAACACTCTTAACAGCTCACAACAAGGGCGTAACAGTCCAAGGACAGTGTCTTAACTGTTAACAGTTCCAGAGCTAGTTTAGATGTGATTGTAGAGCCTTGCACCGCAACCTTTCTGCTGTCAACAGCCCAGAAGAAAATTTCCTGGACTGTTACTTGACTGTCCAGCTTCTAGACCTGCACAAACAGGTCTCTCTAGTAGTCGTGGTAGACTACTCCCAGCAGCATGATCTCCACTAGCTCATGGAC